ACCAGACGGCGCGGCTCACCCCAAGGACGCCCAGCCGACGGAGCCTTCGAGGCGAATCGAAGGCTCTGAANTCGCGCGTTTCTCTCATTATTGTATTTTCATATATTTGTTAGTCGTTTGTTTTGTGTCTCGTTAATTTGTTAATAATCTGTAGTGTATCGTGTTGTCGTAATATAGAACTATTTCTCGTATTGTTTCGTTTAATTTTTTATATCCAGTAAACTCCAGTCGTGCGTCGGAGCGGACACACACACTTTTTTTAGTTATATAGGAGGGCAGTGATGATATGAGGAACGTTATGTTTAAATATTTCAAGGTTGTAATTTACGTAGGACTCATTAGTAGTTAGTAATTCCAAAGAAAACCGACTCATGTTAATATAGAACGTCATTTAATTTACATGTGTCCATAAAACAACGTGTAACGTTCACTAAGGACCCTCGCTGTTTTGCCATAAAACGTCTTATGTTAATATAGAACTCACTATCTCCAGAAATAAAAGAATAACAGTTATAAAATACACAGTATTTAACAAAGCTGAGGCGTAGTAACAACATACCAAAAAATTTAAACAACAAGTCGCACCGTTTAAAAGTTACACAAGTCAACAACTTCTTTAACCTCTACTGAAAACTATCAATCCTACAGATAGGACTATATTCTGCGGATGAGTCGATATAATTATGTATGACACGATCGAAATTTTTCCTTTCTAAAGATGTATTATTGTTCTTCTTGATCTTATCTCATATTATATAGAGTCGGCATACCATGGTCTCTTATCATGCTGCACAGAGATTTGACATTAACTTTATGGTTGACCGCTGCCTGACTTCAACCTTCCTAAATTAAATTCCTAGTTAAATCTCCATATATTCCTTGCAACATGGGAAGAGACGTTTTCTGTTTCTTCTTTGGGCGTTGCTTTGGCTACGATTGTTTTGGGAAATTTTCAAATAATACTTTTCTGTTTTTCATAAAGTACTTTACTTTTTAAAGTAAATACATCCTTTAAAGATATATCTTTTTTATAATACTTCAAATAAATCATTTTGTTAAATAATCGCTAGAAGCTACAGCAGCGCCTATTACTCGGGGTAGGTGTTCCGATTGCCTAATAATGAAATTGGGACAGCGATTGTGTAGATTCTACTGTCTTAAAACCTAAAATGTGTTTTTAATTTTGACGTGACAACGTCTTATAATTCGATGGAGCCGGCTGCACGCACGAAAAAACATGACGAGGCGTTCCATTTAAGGCTTGAAGTGCAAGCAAGAGCGCGCAACGAGCGACAAAGAGGCACAATCGGCCTCCGCGTTCGGCAGCGTTCGACTTCTGTCTCTCTCCTGCTTGAGTGAGCGATGCATCCGCGTGGACAGTTGCTATACAATAATACATTTACATGTTTTCGTCAAGTATAAAGTTCAGTGAAAAGTGAATGTGGTGTCAATTGTTTACAGCAACGATAATTGCGATAATTGAAAAATGAAACCATTCCATCAGTATTTTCTTAAGACGTTGTCACGTTCAACGATCGTCAGTAAACCGACTTTACAGACAACCGATTTTTTTTTTAAAAAAGTCACCAGGTCCTGCTACATAAAATGGTACAGAATGTATTTAATATTTTGAATTTTTGTCTGAGGTAAACAGAAACAAAATTAATTCAAGTCGTTTCTAATTTTTAATCGTCATTTTTATCACTTTTAGATGTTCGTGTTTACTATCTGCATATATCCAAAGATTTTGACGGGCTTGTTTGACTTGATTTCCGTTTTGAAACGGGAGGTGAGATTGTTACATATATTTAGCATTAAAATATATTTGATTTGAAGTTCAATATTAGTGAAAAATCACGTTATTAGATAGTAATATATACATTGTTTTAATTGGATTTTTATCTTCAGGGTCCCAAATTAATGAATGTTGTGCTGTTTACACTAGAATTTCTCCCTTCTTACGTATTGTTGATGATACCTTCTGTAACACTTGACATGGTATCCATTGAGATGAAAGAAATATTAAAAATCGTAACAGAAAAACGCGTTTTTTGTAAAGGTAAATCTGTTAATGATGAATACTATTTTTATTAATTCATTATTTTAGTACTTTTTTCGATTTCTTAAGGTTATTAAAAGTGTATTGTGATTTTATTCAATCATATTGTGATTTAAAGAATGAAACACAAAAATATTGTTACCGTCATAAGAATATAATGACGTGACGTATGATACATTAATAGATCGTTAAATTCTCATTTATGGCCGAAGATTTTTTCGGATCGATGAGACAGAACTAAGCCGAAGTAGATTGGTGAGAAAGGTAAGGCATGTCATAGGAAGTGCATGTCTTTCCACTACCCTGCCTACAAGGGAGGCTGGATAGGGGTCGTCAGCGCTACCACTGTGGTACTGCTTGGGGCTGTACAAAAGCTTAAAACCTCACGACTTACTTTAAGTTAAGTGGTTTTCGAAGATCGTTGCATGACATGCATGCTACACAACTTTGATACACGAGAGACGAAACCTCAATTGTAGTACAATTAAATTCTTCCACTGTTTAAATCGTATCAAAATTACGTTGTCAAGTTAATTGTAGATTTCTGATAAACGAATTTATTGCAGACGAAAAACAGCACGCTGATATTCAAGAGCTCTGCCAATACATAAAGAACAATCAGCTGAAGTATACAATTTGGCGCTTAGTTTCCTTGAACATGCGATCTCTGCTCAGGGCCACTTCGTTTTGTATTGCTAGTACTATTGCTATCTTGCAAATAAAAGACTGGAATGGATAGAGAGAGAGAGAGAGAAACATTGTGTATCTCAACGTTACTAGATGTGGCTATCAGATTTTGTGGAATGAAAATCTTATTAGATCATTTTTTAATTATCATCATCATCACCATCTGCCTATAGCAGTCTACTGCTGGACATGTGCCTCTCCAATTACACACCACTAAGCACGATCCTCGGTTTCTCTCATCCAGCTTGTGCCAGCTACCCTTTTACTGGTGGTAGGACCTCTTGTGAGTCCGCGCGGGTAGTTACCACCATCCTGCTTATTTCTACCGTGAAGCAGTAATTAATGCGTTTCGGTTTGGAGGGTGGGGCAGCCGTTGTAACTATACTTGAGACCTTATATCACTTGAGAGACTTATATCACATATATCATATGAGTGGCGCATTTACGTCGTAGCTGTCTATGGGCTCCAGTAACTACTTAACACCAGGTGGACTGTAAGCTCGTCCACCCACCTAAACAATAAAAAAAAAGATTTTCACTCCATAAATGTAAGCAACAATCACAATTTGTTCAATAGTGCCCACAATTACAGTTTTAGCAGTTCATTGACATTTTTGTGAACCAATACTTTTCGTATTGCAACTAGCTTGCAAACTTGTAGACTGTCTGAAAATAAATTACTAAAGTAGAAAAAGAAATGTTTTACTCATGCTATTGTAGTAGTGTTTAACTGCTACGCAGTTATACAATTTTATGGAAGTGAAGTGTTGGTCAAATTAAACCACCCGCACAGTTTTTAAAAACACTTTCAGTTTTACTGTCTTATATTATATTATATTAACGAACAAACACATAGAAGGGGAAGAGGAAACAAATAAACAGACTTCAACTATAAGCTAAAATTAAGCAAGACTATGCGCAAGCACTGCGAAGCGGGTTAGCGGGTAAAATCATACGAGTATCCGCCGGCAAGGCAGTTTACGGACTGGTGGTGAAGTGCGCCCGCGGGGGCCACCCGTAGCGCTTGCGCACGGTGCGTCATTGCTGACTATATACAAAGAATGTTTGTCCCAAAAAACAGACAATATTAAAAATCAATATAATTTTTAAATATAATAATTCTACATCTAATATAACGGCCGTCTGGTGTAGTGGTAAGTGACATGGTCACTACACAAGGGGGTCGCGGGTTCGAATCCCGCCAAGGGAAGATATTTGTATGATAAATATAAATGTCTTTTCCAGGGTTATGGATGTATATTAAATATATGTATGTGTATAATAAAAATCTTACATTTATATCCGTTATCTGGTACCTGTAACACAAGTTCNGGGTCACAGCTTCTGTTAAGACGCTACCAAAGCCGATACCAGACTTATTCAATTAAACATTAATCCTACTGCAAAACATCAAGTCGAATTCTGACAGCAACGGAATAGCTAGTTATTTTATCAGTAAGTTAAAATGCAATATTACCCCATGTTTTTGGGAAAAATATAGGTATACACTGAAAATAGGAATAGCTGCTAAAAATGCAAATTCAGAACAAGACGTCAGTAGACAAATAGAATTTAGAGCTGATACTGATAATGAAAAAGTAGTTATGGTAGTAATAGCTTTTTATTATTAACTATGCAAAATATGATCATGTTAAGTTGTTAATTCTAAATGTAACAACGAACAACACACACACACTTTTTCCATATAGAGGAGAAGTACAAGATTGGCAACGTATAAATTCAAATGGAGAATAATAAATAATTATAGTCCGCGATAAATCACACACATTTGTTTCGATTTAAAACTAGGATTCCCTTTATTATGGAACTCAAATACTGATATGCTTACTTGAATACATGTAAATGAATACATATAGATATTAAACACCTCGATAGAGAGCAAACAAACCTGTTCGTTACACGAATGTTTGCATTAAGTGAGAATCTATCCCACAACCCAGTGATCTGTCAGAATTATTAACGTCTTCAAACCAAGTCGTCTATAAGACTTAATCTACAGCTCTAAAAGGTCACCAATCATAAAAGAAAAACTAATCATCTAATTACATTACATAGTAACATTTTAATTAAGACTCATTTGTATACATAACTAATGAAGGCGTACTAAAATAAAACGAGGTCAAACTGTAAACTTAAAATCGATTAGAACTAGTTACACGAGCGTACAAACTAACTCGCTTTGAAAAATAAAAAAATTCCTTATTCCCTCATCAAAAACAACATTCGCTGTAAAATGATAGATTTTAAAACCAAAAACGTTTGCGATATAAACACAATTATGAAAATTCGTTTTCTCTTCGGATTCTACTGTGATTTTCCATTTAATAAGCGTTTTCAAAACATTTTAAAGTTCTACTGTATCAGTGTTCTTGTAGTACTCATACTGGGTAGTTGGGTTTGTAGCACAGGCTTCAGGTCTGATAAGAAAATCGTCATATACTGTGAATATATTGCTTATTTTTTAATATCCTTGAGCACTAAGGACCGGTACATATTCGACTATTACAAACAGCAACCGCTAATTGATGGAAGTACCACATCCAAAGTCCTCTATAAAAAATTAGAGAGACTGTTAAAATATTTTGTTACTATCACTATTGTTCTAAAGATGTTGAATATATTCGTTTTCTGTGGCTGGAATCTAACAAAATGCATAAACGAGCTTGACGGCGTTTTGTTTATTAATCTGCTTTGGATCGGTTTGCTTCTGGCAAGATTATCTTTACCTGTGATTTATGGATTGCTCTATTTTCGCCTGAGAGTTCTCAGGATGACTTTGGAATCGAAGGGCTTTTCCAACAGTCCCCAAAACAGATTTACGCCGAAGAAATACATTACGATTTATGAAAAAATCATGGAAGATTTGTTCAAAATGGATTATCCGCTTAAATATGTGGTGAAGATCTGATTATTGTGTAATATTTGTAAATATGTCATCGTTGTTTCTTAAAAGATTAAGAAGAATCTAAGAAAATACGTACCTAGTATGTGTACATGAAATAGTTCTTTAATGAAGGATTAACATGGTGTAACAAAGTTAGTGTAAGCTTTGACTGAACGGATCAGGCCGCCATTACAGCAGTAATTCATACTACGATTTCATGTCTCGAGGTGAGTGGCGGCATCGACATTGTAACATCTATATGCCGCAGTAACTACTTATCGTCAGGTGCTTTGTTAGCTCAATTATTCATCTAGGGCCGGGGTCGGCAATCTTTTGAGTCGGAAGATGCAAAAATAACAATTTTCAAAAATTCAAAGTTTTTACAGAGCCCCAATCCTTTTTCTTGCCAACAATTAAATAGATCTTGCATAAAAAAAATTTTTTGATAAAAAAAAGAATCGAATTATTCATAAGAAAAATATCTATTTATTTTTATACATATAAGTAGTGTTTTTTTACAACAAATTAGATAATATATATTGTAATATTAGATAATTACTTATTATTTAATTAAAAAATGAAAACAATTAAACATTTACAACAATGGTCTGAGAAATAGAAACGCTGCCCGACCCTCGTTAATCGATTCAGAACAAATTTTAAATGTTTTTTTTTTCTATAAAATAAAGAATATTTGCATATGGAACTAAAGAGCCGCAGTTTTATATCCAAAGAGCTGTATGTGACTCGCGAGCCGCAGGTTGCCGACCCCTGATCTATTGCGACGAAATTAAATACAAGACATTAACGTTTAAAAGGCCTCGATATTGCAAACAAACAATCAATATTTAATCCGTCATTCTTAACGCCTTATTCACAGCTAAGATTTAAAATCCTAAATACAGGTTGTCTTAAAAATCTGTAACCCCCAAACTCAAATCTCATAAGATGCACTTTGGTCATTGGGCACGTTGAGATTGTATGTTTTATTCTTAACATAAGTATTTACTAATAAAATTACTATAGTATTTACTAATAACATTTTCAGTTTATCATATTCTTAATTGGATCTGTGCCCAAATTGTTACAGAACTCTTGGCAGTTTTTGAATTCATTAAAAAATTATGTAAGTTGTTTTTTTTTACTATTAACTATGCTCTAATATTTCTGTTTGTCATGGTACATAAAGGTCAGAATTAGGAATACTTTGAGATACAGGCTTGTAAAGTCATCTTTTCGAGATCCAACGATTCACCTCAAAACTCATATACGTCTCATTCTGTTTTCGGTTAACAAATATTTAAAGTAACTCTGTGTTTCAAGTTTACATTTTTACACCCAAAACACTGAACCAATTTTGACAAAATTAAATCAGGATATGGTTTGACAAATAATTTAGAGTCCCACCTTTTATCCAATTGCCAAATACGAACAATATGAAATGTCCACTCGGTTGAAGCTGTGAGCGTCAAGGCATTTTCACCTAAAACTTAATCAAGAAAACAATAAATCATTCATAAAGTAGTACTGATTACTGTACTCAAAATTCACCGGAAAGAAAACACTACTCAATTTTTATTGCATTAAAATCATGTAATTTATTAAATCACATTTTAACCCAATAATTATTAAAGTTAAATGAAAATACAAAATTCTTAGAGGAAAAACTGATGTAAGACGTAATGACGGACATTTTGAATTGAGTTGTGAAATGTGTATTAATCAATTAATATTTATTTATTTAGATTTTCCAACAAAGGATTAACACAATACAGTTAGTTATTTTTAAAAATAGAAATAATAGGTTCTTAGCGTGAGTGCACCCACAAATACATTCCCATTATTGATGGAAATAAAACTACGCTAACACCAATTAAGGATAAAGTATACACCAAGCAAAGCCTACATACCAAAAACAGTATATATCAAAATCTAAAAAAAACTCAACACAAATCAAATTAAAATAATTAATTAAAAGCACTAATTAGACAAACTTATTTAGCCAAATTTGAATTGAAATCAAGGTTTTATGAGCCTGTTTAAGTATGTACATATTATTATGTTGAAAACATTCGTTTTGTATTCTGTGTAAGTAAATAAAACATCCTTTATTTATTCCAGGGTCCAGAAATAAGTAAAATATTGGAATTTACCCTTGAATGCCTACATTCCTACATAGTTATAATTTTACCTATCGTTGTGGCTTTGGACCTTTCTGAAGACGAAATTAAGAAGATGAAAATTATCACTCTGAATAAACGCCTAGCTTGTTTAAGTGGGTCGATCTAGCGTTTTATAATTTTGTACATTATTTACTGGCTGGGTTTTAATTACATATTTTCCAATTTCTTTAGAATATATTTCAATAAAAAAATTGTTTAAAACCTCTGTTTAAAAAACATCACATTAAAAATAATATTTAGCAAGGGCCTATAGTAAAACCACGCTAGTAGGTAATATCATTCTGCCCATTTATACAGAAAATCAGTCATGCTTTCTGGCTTAATAGGTAAAACGTACAAAAGTTGAAACAAGCGTTGGTTCAAACATTGGTACAAACACTGGACAAACAGGATGGACAAGACAAACTGGACAAAAAACGCTAAACGTAACCACTGATACTTTGATTTCTTATCTCATGGCTGGTGGTATATTTCCACTAAGCACTAGACCAGGTAGGCAGTGTATTCGCTCATCTAGAACATTTACAAAAAGCAATGTCGCCGAGACTTTAGGTATGAAGAGGTGAAAAAATAAAAACTTTTGAAACCTGAATATACTTATATATTATACTATAGTAGTCATCAATATTTAAAATATTATGTTATTTTTGAAACCAGTTTTTAAGCGACCCAGCCAGCTTATTTGCATAGTAAAAGACGTTAAAGTACATTTACTATTTAGGTAAGTCGCAAACTCATTTCTCTGTGATGAATATTAAGTTTATCTTACAGATGAAAGACAGAAAATGGAGATACAGCAATTATTTTTACTTCTGAAGAATAATTCGTTGAGATACAACCTATGGCGCGTGGTCCCCGTGAACTTGAAAAGCGTTTTAATATTTTTATCGTTTGGCGTCACAAACGCAATAGCCATAATGCAAGCTAAGAATCTGAACTAGTTATTGTAATGTACGTGTTTCATTACTTCCATGAAGATTTTTTGAATGGATTAAACAGGACAAACCATTAATTCAGCAGCAACTCATACAACATTATTCACACATCTAGCTGTCATTATTAAGACGACAAAAACTCCCACCAAATGGATTTAAGACTTCGTAACGATTAAAAAATATTAAAACCAGGCAGTAGATTTGCCAATCACAATTTACGTTGTAAGCAACGATAACCAAAACCAATCATTCTTCTTTCTATCTTATTACTAATACAGTATTTCAGAGTTTCAAAAAGGACTTTAGCTTCCAAAACGAGAAATTTCTGGAAAGAAGCAAGATCTTTTTGAAGGTCATCGAAGCTGTGGTATCTGGTACTATGGTATCATTCGAAGTTTTAAGCCCGCACAATGTTGATTTTTATCACCCCGATAATTATCTACTGTGATCTAATGAAAATAATTACCTCTAGCTCTGATATCCGAAAGAGCTTTTCTAATTCTGTCACGATTTTCCTTCACGTTTCCATATCTTCAACCTTTAATAAATTTAATTTAATTTAACAAAATCTAAAATCTTATTCAACAAACAAAAGACATATATGTGACCTCAATATTGCCCACACCAGATCCGAGTCCATTACTTTAGAAAATTGAAAAAAAAAAAACGAAAAAATCCCATTTGACTTTTCAATTAAAATCTCGACGCTTTCGAACAAAGGTGTCGGAGGTACAAAGGCTTGAATGCCAGCTTTTTGCTGCGGTTTCATAATTTCCTTATTTGCAGATGTTGACTGGTTCACTTTTTTCCTTCCGTTGTTTTCAGCAGCTCCACAAAGCTTCGGAGAGTTATATCCACTACTATTTAGATCAGAACAGAACGCCCTCGCCAGAGTTTTCAATTTCTTCGCATCTTTATAATGAACACTTTAACATAATAGTGTTCATTCTAAATTTGTTTTTAATAATGTGTTTGTGTGCTTAAGTGCTACTTCTTAATAGTAAGCCATGCAAACCTTCGCTGTTTCGCTTTACTTATGAAATACATCATTTTGGAATAGTTTTCGTGCGACTTATTGTGTATTTATTTTATTCCTTAAACGGGTGAACAAACTCGTGGCTCATCTGGTGTTAATATAGCATAACCACAACAATAATGCGGCTCACCTTCTTTTTTTATTGCCCTTGTAAGAAGACGAGCATACGGTGAGTGGTTACCGTCACCCATGGACTTCAGCAGTGCCATGGGTACAGCCAAGCTGCTGCCTACCGTTTAGTACTCTCCACAAGCCTCGTTTGAAGATGGCAATGTCATAGCGCTGGGGAAACACCCTGGAGGGGAGCTCATTCTAAAGCCGGATGGTACGTGACAAAAAAAGACTCGGGAAGATCTCTGGAAACGCACTGTGGATGAACGCAGTGGCTCCAAGTAGTATGGATAAATTCTACTCCGGTGGCGGGCGGTGCGATGGTAAAAAAAGAGATGATGGAATCAACTCAAACAATTCCTCAGAGCACTCTCCATGGAACATACGGTACAAAATACAGAGAGAAGCGTAGTCCCTCCGCAGACTCAGAGGTTCCAAATGATCTGATTCCGAACAATTCATACCTTGAGATCTGAATTCTAGAATGACCTCGAGCAGGGAGTCATCTTCAAAATATGTCCACCAGGCATCGTAAGACGCGTCAAGTCTGCTCTCTCACTATCCGAAGATCGCGATGACTCCTTCACTATCTTACGAAGACTAAAACAACAGATCGAAGCAACTGTGAAGAAGAAGTCATACCACGATTGACAATTCGCATTAACTGGCAGTGTATCGTGTTGTAAATCAAGACAGTGCTTTTAAACAGCTTTTAAATCCTTACACACCTAGAGTATAAAAGCTTGTGTAATGATAACTACTGGATGTTAGACCAGAACAAAATAGACCAGCAACATTTATATGAGAACGAATAAAATTGAATTTGCAATGTGGCTGTCGCAGTGATTCTGTCTTGAGATTCTTGAGGCCATTGAACTCCGTCTCTTGCGAAATTTATTTGTGAATTATGATTTAGGTAAATTTGAAAACCGTACTGGAGTGAATTTGTGGATGAAATCAAATTGACGGTAGAGCGCATTCTGGGCCTAAACGAATAATAATTCAATTGAAACCTGAACCTCAAATGACTTTGTTGGTCGCAGCATTTGCGTTGTGATATTTTTAAGCTTCGCTAGTCTATGCAATAAACTAAAAAGAGAATTAATGCAAGCCCTGCAAAATCACAAAATCATCAAAAATAATAAATTTTATATACGTTATTAATAATATAAAGAAAAGAAAAAAAAAACGAAATACCTTTATAGGTTATAAAATAATTTTAATTTGAAATTTCAAAGTTTCGTAATAAGCTTTTCATTATTGTTGAAATTACTCTGCAAACTCTCCACCACCGCGAGCTAAGACGTTAAGTTAATACTTAATTTTACCTAGATTTTATTACTTGAATGAATGCTAAAGAACGTCTATAGGCAATGTACACGGAATCGGCTGTTATTGTCTCACTTACAGGCCAAGCGTCCGCTGTTTAATGAGAAGAACGTCCTGGGCAATTGTACAAAATGTGGTTGGATTGTCTACGAGCTGTTCCAGTTTGAAGGGTTCATTGAAGGGCGGCAGTGATGTGATCAAACAAACTGACTATTTTTATGTAAGCCACTGAGATGTTTCACAGTAGGAATGGGATCAGTTTACCACTTAACCGTGAATGGTTCGTAACTGTATTTTCAAGTGAATAACAAAACCAATTTAAATTTAATTAAAACGATTGTAAAAGTTTTTCTATGATCGCAAGGCCCTATATTATATACAGACAGGTAGTTAAAATTGTAAAAATTCATAATATTTGGTGGAAACAATTTCTCATAACGATTTTTTTTTCTACACACAGGTACAAAATTATCTATTGCATTTTGCGTTAGTGTACAGACTGTTGTCAAAATCCATTGAATTATTTTGGTGCAACTTTGGCAGGGATGTTTCCACCCCGCTTTATTACTCCCAGATACGTCATAAAAGCACGATGGTATAATATAAGTTTCGGCAGGGTTGTCGCGTTGAGTTGTTTAATTGTCGATTTGAAATTTAAATATATTTAACAATATCAAAAATCACTAGCAACTTTGTTTTAAAACTAGACCTTTGAATTACATTTTTTACCGTAACATTTTTTTGGATCAGGGTGTATGAGAATGGTTTGCGAAAATGAGGAAAAGTAAGTGACTGGTGATTCTGAATACGACGTTTTTTTAGTCAAAAAAAGCAGGAGTTTCACCGTCCGCTCGGTGTTAGGTTAGCGTTGCTAATAGACATCACAACATGAGTGTGTCTCCACATACCTTGAGATAATTAGGTCAAAGCCTAGAAATAGCCTTGATAGTGGAACCGCATGTTCACAATAAATTGTTATATAAAAACTTCGAAAATCGTGTAAACAGCGTCGAGTTCACCAGTAAAGCAAATAATATATTTATCTATTTATATTCTATCGATCTGTATTGTCTAAATTTTTTTTATCGCCCTCGTAGGCAGACGAATTTACAGCCCACCTGATGGTGAGTGGTTACCGTCGCCTATGGATCTCAGCAATGCCAGGGGCAGAGCCAAGCCACTGACTATCATTTAATTATTAATTAAAAGCACCTTGTGCATTTTAGCTACATAAATTTGTATATTGCGCCTTCCCTATCCAAGCCACAACATTAGGTGGCTTAGTTTGTGTTCAACTTTATTTACTGCCAGTTCATCGATCCCCCAGGGGATCACGTGCAATTTGCCCATACTATATTTTCTATTGCACAGTGTAATCCATTAACACTGAATAGTTTATGTACATAATAATATGTATTCATCTTGAAATATGCTAATCTTTATTGAATGCAATGTAGATATTTCGTTCTGTATTGTACTGGTTTTAGGACCTCTTGTGAGTCCGCACGGGTAGGTACCACCGCCCTGCCTATTTATGCCGTGAAGCAGTAATGCGTTTCGGTTTGAAGGGTGGGGCAGCCGTTGTAACCATACTGAGACCTTAGAACTTGTATCTTAAGGTGGTTAGCGCATTTACATTGTAGATGTCTATGGGCTGTAGTAACCACTTAACAAAAGGTGGGCTGTGAGTTCGTCCACCAATCTAAGCAATAAATATATATGTAGGATTGGTAAGAACGGAACGTATGAATAGAGTGTGGAACGGAGCGTTAAGATGTGAGTGAGAGAAAACGGAAAGAAAGGGAGAAGAGAATGACAGATAGAATGACAGAGAATTGGAAGATGGTTGAAGACGGTTGAAAAATGAGTAAGTCGTAATAAAATTAGTGTTAATTATTAATTACTATTATAATAGAAGATTTTGGAATAGTGTAACTTTTATTTTATGCGCTGCGATCCCTATTCTACATATATATATATTAAAGCTTCGGTAATAATATATTATTTTAGACTGCGGTTACGGGTAGTAAAGGTCTTACGGAGAGCCGAGTACGCAGTGCTTTTGTTAAAGTTATGGCTGTGCGGTGTCGTAAAGGCGACTAAAGATTTCACTGGAGAATGGGTGGCAACATTCTCCGAGCATTATACTAGCATATTACGATCCAACAAGCGTTTACCAGTGAGGAGGATTATGAGCCCTCACGAGTGCTCACCCGTAAAGACAAGTATTCCGTTTTGAAGGGTGGGACTAAGGCGTGATTGATGACAACAGGCTTGATACCAGGAGAGTCGTGAATTCATTCACCTCCTAAAAAGTGATTTTTGTACATATGACGTAATAGTAGTATAAATAAAGTATAGTGGAGAAGAAATTCTAAATTAAATTACTTTTTAAAAATACTTATATTTGGATATTAAATTAAAAATGTTGAATTGTAGGTGAGTTGGTATTACTGAACAACCAGATGCTAATCAAAATTTTAAAATACATTCCCTTTTGTACCAATGTAATATTTCTTATTTGATTCGG